AGCGAGTCTCTCTCTCTCGAGTGGGTTGCTGTACCGGCGCCTGCCTTTCCAGTGTAAAACCCTCGTTCCAAATATATCGAAATGCAGCTGTTGGAATGAATCAATAGCACGCCAATAGGATCCATGTAAGTGATCTGAAGAAGCTCTTTCAGGATTTGTCATAATTTCGACCAATCAGAATCAAGTGTTTTTAGCGCAGCGCTTCTCTATCTTTCACGTTCGCTCTAGTCTGAGCTTTCACCACACTGGGGTGTGGAACAACGAATTTGGGCCCAAGCGCGTTAGTGTTATGTCTGGTCGAAATTGATCACCCCAGAGAGAAGGGTAGTGCCCTCAGTTTTATCTACCGGGCATCCCTAATTCGATCAAGATTAGTTATCTCTCGATTGTTATCGATTACTGTTGGAATCCGGTTAGGCAACCCGAAGCTCTGTATTCAGAAGCTAATAGGAGGTTTTACTGTGTTAGCCACCTTCGGAATTGATAATTGTTCTGAGTGGAACTACCGACCCAAGTAACTTTTTTGTCCTACAACCACGTGACCGACATGGAGTTTTGATGTCAAGACTTGATGGTGACGAGGGTGACCGGGTCCTCTAAGCTCTCCGGCCATCCTTCTGGAGCTATACATCATAATCCGATAATATCGTTAAGATATTGAAAACCAGCCAGTTACTGTTAGGTGGAAGGTACTTCATGTTACTCACTTTCTTATTCAAGGGAAGATTTTATTATCCTTCATGGCCCCTCACGGATCATGTAGCAATCAGATGTTAAACCGTTCATTCACGAACCGAGCCTTCATTGATTACGCCCAGCCCACCAGCATAAGAGTTGCTCAGAGGGGTTCCTACTCATTTTTATCGTTCGCCGACTGATACCATCTTCCGGACGAGCCAGTCGGACGCGTCGACCTTAATCCCTACTACACGGAAGTTGACGCTGAGCACAAACTCTGGCGGGTGACATGTGCATCCATCGACAATCAACTACGCCACAGACAATGGCCAATAGCTATGGAGTGTTTCAGGTGACTATTGTTCTGTGAACAGGATCTTCTGAAGTGTGGCTTTACCGCTCTGATCTCATTTGTGATATTCGTTATGGATCTAAGTGATCAGGTGGGTGTGGTCCTCCCTGGCCACACCGAATGTACGTGGATAAGATCCCAAAAGGAGCGAACTGGACAGCACTACCGACGGTAGTGCAGTCCGTAAACTGAACATCAAGTCTTTTGGATGGCTGGTTGGTCAGGGTATCACTCAGAGTCGAGCGTTTCAGCTGGGCGCCTCTCGTTCAACTCCAAAAGCTGCAACGCCACCTTTTAGAGAGTTCAGCTATTTGTACAGGTGCGGTCGTATCATCTCGAGGTGATGTGCGTTCTGATGTTGTGTCTTGCAGTGCAACTCTGTATCGGTCCCTTGGTTTCTTGCTCCGCCCACTGTGGTACATCAAAAGGCATGGTAGCTCTACACAGCCCTTTATGGAGACAAGGGAAAATTATCACAACGGTATTTATAGGGTAGTCACAGAGTGTTCCACAAGGTCGTGCTAGAATCTCCGCGAGGGGCCGAGAAGCTTCGAGTCAAAGATGCTCGACTCGAATTGGCTGGCATTCTGACCAATCAGGTCATGCCTTCGTTTGGTCCGTGTCCTGCACGTGACACATCCGTCCGAATGATGTGATGTTCACTTATTGAAGACGACTAGCTTCCGGGCTAGTCGATTGTCATTCTTGGAGTTAAACGATTGCTACCAAAATACTAACGGCATCTTATCTATCCGTATAGTCAATCATTAGCAAAACTGAAATAGTAAAGACCTTTGTAATGTACTACTTATAATGTTGCTGAAAATCCATCGACAGCCGACGACCGGTTTTGCCCTTTTTGGGGCTCATCAGGTAGGCGCAATCCCCGGGTTTCCGTCAACCTTATGTCCTACTTGAAACCAAATTGCACGAAATTAGCGAATATACACTCATTTGCAAATTGATTTGGTTTTTTCGAGAGACTCTCCTGGAACCCAGCTGAACCTCTCGCTTGTGATGTTCTCAGGCAACTGAATGCGCTGCACCAGGCCGCCTCATGTTTCAGTCGCTACGATATTCGAGATATCGCGATACATGTATATCATTGTAATGTACATCACAAACGAGAGATTCAGCTGGGTTCCAGGTAAGTCTTTCGAAAAAAAAGCAAATTAGTTTGCAAATGAGTGTATATTCGCTAGGAAAGACCTTGTTTCTTGTTCCTACTTCTTACGGTTTGTTTTTAGGAAATTCTGATACTGAATTATGTCCCTCTTTTGTAGTGTTCTCGCTGTCACCTTTCATTGTGATCAGCTTTTTCGTGGCTTATCAGTTTCTGCTTTGCGTTTCAGACTTGAGCCGGTGCAGACCACGAGCCTGTCCCATCTCAACTGCCCAGTGACCGACATGGACTTTGTGTGGACACCCGAACTCAGGTTCTATGTCATGATGCCGGATCACCGATTCTTCATCTATCACCTTCAGTCAGATCCAGGTTCGTTGACGGTAGTTCTTCTTGAGGACAGTGAATCCCAAAATAACTGTTCCTTGATGTTGGGAAACAAATCCGACCGTGTGTAAATTTACCACAGGAGAGTCATGGTCACCCTCAGACGAAATCAGATGCTCGTTTATGTAGCCAGAAATAACTGTTTTATCGTGAGAAAAGATTTTGTGAATCCGTATCCCTTAATCAGTGATGATGATGATATGAATGTGTGAACCTCCGCTTGGAAAGTATTGTTCTCCTCATTAGAGTGAACACTCTCCTCTGAAAGATGGACCATTTCCGGGGACGAACGTTTTCGTTACCCTCGATCTTCCCCGTGGAAATGGCATCCTCCCAGGGACGGACGCCGCGCTGGAGATAGTTGGCACTTAAAAATTCATTTCTGACAATACTGGGCATTGTTACACAAAATCCCTTTGTCCTGGATGTGACTGTTCCGTTTGTTTCATCTGTCATCATGGTGTTTATTTTTAGCGAAATTTTCAAGTCTGCAACTCTTCTGTATGACCCCTGTTTTTTGGGAGCAGTTTATCCCATTTCTATTTGACATGTTTGCTCTCAAATGATCGGAACAGTGTTCTCCGTTTTCACACCAACGGCCCATAGAAATTCTAACGTTTCCATCCTATTTCTTCACCTTCATCTGTTTGCTTGTTGGTTACAGCATATCCGGCAGATCCGCAACACTGGACCATCTTAACGTCTCACTTCTTGGGACCTGAAAACGCTGAATCGAATCCGTTGTTAACTCCAGCCTTCTCGACGAGTATCAGAATAACGGGTGAGACAACGGCTGACGGTACGGCACATAACATGGACCGGCAGTTACAACTAAACACTGTTGAAGGTCGTGCAACTTTGTACCGCTGGTCTGACCTAGTGGATAAAAGTAAGCGTTGCGCAGTTGCACTTGACCGCTTACGAGATTTTTATGTCTGATTGGTTACCTTGACTTTATTCCTGCGCCTTCCTCTTCCTCATATCTCTAGCCTTCCCTTGGCCGATAGCCGAGCTAAACCTGGTCCACTCGAGAAAGACCATGAACAATAAGCTTGGCATCCCCAGCTGCTTCGTTTCCAAACCAACTTTACTACACATTGACGGGGCTTCCACCTACGAACAATACCTGGTTGCAGGTATCGGTGCCCATCATTTGGCAGATGAGTCCGCCAAGAAGTCAGACCATTTCCAACTATGTTTCGTTCGGGTCAGTCTGCAAGGAGACGACTATAGCATGGAGTTGATTTCAGGTGCTTCTGATATCCCAGTCAGGTGTGTTAGCGCACATCATTGGCAACCACTACTGTGCGTCGGTTCAGCCAATGGCGAAGGTGAGTGATCAACTCATTCAATCAATGCTTTCTCGGCGAATTAAAAATAGACAGATTTTCGCGCAATGCACTCATTTACAAACAAATCTGGTTTTGCGAGAGACTCACTCGGGAACCCAGCTGAATCTCTCCACCTTCACACTTCCTGCGGTTGAGTAACCCCTACCTTTGTCCCTTCCTAGTCGTGCGAAGCGCCTCGGAACTCTCTCTTCCAGAGCAGTATTTTAGGCTGCTTCTGCACTCCAACAGCAGAATATTTATCAACAGAAGGCGTTACTTACAAAATGTGTATATGAAAGGGATACAAGCATCAAATTAAGGGGATTTCCATCCAATTGTTGCACGAATTGGTTCAAGTCCAAAGAAACCCCGGCAAGAACGGCAACTCGATGTGAATTACCGACAAACTTGGTAACGCAACAAAACGCGCGCGTGAAAAGTTCATCAGAATTGGTTCGACATGTGGCGGGTCAAAAGTTCATGGGAGGTTGTGGGTGAATATTGAATACATGGGTTAGGTGCAGAAAGAGCTTGACTGGGAGAAGGGAGGTACACTAAATCTATGAATTACTTTCGTCCGATGCGAGTTGGACTTGTTTTTTTCCAGCGTTCAATCGATGTTAGTCAAAACCAAACAAAACTCATTTTCCTAATAAATGCGAAACCAGTAAACTTCGAATTCCCATATTAGAGTTGGCGTATCTTGTGCGTTCTTCACTTTTGATCGGTGGCATGAACTGGATGGTTCACCACAAACTTCAAGGTTGTTGAGTATCCGAAAATGTTGCAAATGAGTTAAAGAATTTCCCATAACTTCTACCGACTCAGCTCACTTTTCTTCGTTCTCTTTTCTCCAGCAATTCTGTTTATCACATCCATTGTGAAGGGAGGCCGTCGTCTACAGATGGACCCTGTTCAGACTTTTTCGGATGTACCCTCCCATCCCTTGTTAGATCGGACGTCCTTTCGCAATGACAAAACGAGTCATAAACCCACTACTTGTTTTCTAGCATTGGAGTTTGTCAACCATTCATCATTGTCTCAAGGAGATCTGGCTATTGTCGGATTGATTGAAACTCTGGTTGGTCGCGAACGAGGGAGACGCGACCTGGTTGTCTACGGACTATCAACCGTTACACTCCAACCGACTGAGCAGGTAGGTGGTGTACGTTTTTGTTTACGGTCATGATTTGAGCGTCTGGCGGTCTTTCTGGTTATCCGGAGTTTGTAAGCTGAAAGGTCATCGTGTTCTACAGACTCTGCAGCAAGTGGTTAGAGCGCGAATTTATTGATGGGAAGGCGTGGTTCGAACCCGACCTCTACCTCTCGACTTCCCCTGTCTAGGCTTGGGCAGCCTGGCAGTAACCCAGTCCTCGCGGTTCCTTCGGGTAACATGGCAGCTAGGCACCGAAAGTGTGTTGCAGCTGAACGATTTATTTTTTTTACTGATGGATACGATGTCGATTGTACGCGGACACAACCAAGTATGTATGAAAAGCTACTCTGAATCTGTCTCGGCATTAAGCTTCTTCGGTGCCTTATGTGCGGTATCAATTATTCAGCCAAGACAGTTTATTGGGAACGATATTGAAGCTAAAATAAAGACGTTTCGAGCCCATTTTGTGGGTCGCAGCATGGAACTTTTCCTTAAATTCTTAGCTACTTATATCACATAAAGTAGATGCGAGCAAAATGATCAACACAGTCGTCCGACTACGCCGTACATACCGAGCAAGGTATAATTCCATCACTAAAGTCAACTGTCTAAAATCATAATTATGGTTGAATTGTGGTAATCACTTCCATCTATAATGGGTTTAATCGATGGGAGTAGTCGTGTGGTGCTTCGATTTCTTTATCTGTTTCCAGTTCTCATCGTCCTCTCAAGTTCGCCCTGTCGCCTGCACCCAAGTACACGTTATGAAATCTTCCTGATCCTCACTGGGTCGTTCTTTCCTCGCTAGGAATCGTCTTGCGGCCAGTCCGTTGGTCATATGACGGACATCGTGAGTGTCCCAGGCAAGTGGAAGACTGACCATCGCCCATCCAACGGAACGTCCCTGTGTCGAAATATTGATTGACCGGGTGCTGGCGTGACTTATAGTGAATGGGCTAGCGAGATTGATATGATTGACCGGACGGATTTCATCCAGACAGTTTTCATGCCTCATCGATAATGAGCTTCATGATTGCATCCGGCAAGTTTTCTTACTTGGAGGGAATGACACTCCAAGGGTTCCTTTTGTTGCCCAAGTGGTTAGAGCGCGAATTTACTGACCGGAAGGTCTGTGGTTCGAACCCGACCTCTGCCTCTCGATTTCCTCTGTCTAGGCTGGCAGTATCCCAGACCTCGTGCTTCATTCTGATAGCATGACAGTTAATCACCGAAAAGGTTCTACAGCTGAACGATTTTGTTGCTTATGTAGTATTAGTGCACAGTTTATGATAGCCACAATATCGCTCGGAAGGTATTTGCACTGATAACAGTTTTTTTGCAACGGTGGCGAATTGCACCATGTATAAAATAAATGCAATGCGGAAATTAGAGCAAGTCAAAAGGGGGACTTATCGCGTTCCTTGGTGAAAGCCCGGAGAGGGGGACTTGTTTTCTCTGCAGTGTAGCTGCTACACGTGTTCCGTAATTGTCCCTGTGTAGTTTGGTTTACTCCCTGCCTCCTTCACGCGTGCGAGTATGTGTGTGATGACTGTGTCGTGTCTTCCTATATGTAGGAAGGTTTGACATGTGTATAATACCTAGAATCGTTTTGACGCGTACAAGACGGTAACTGACTTGTCGGTTCGGGTTCCGAGCGGGGCAGGGTTCTGTCAATTGATTTGTGTGTTTGCGGAACAAGGAGTTGCGTGGTCCAGTGAATACGGATGTACTGGACAAATTAAGCGAAGTTGCTTGAAGGAACAAAGACGTGACCGCTACAGTCCGTTAATCTTCGGGAGGTGTTTTCCTTTGGTAATGTCTTCGATCGAGTTTTCTCTTACGGCGGCTTTTCTTTTGCTCGCTATTTCCTTCTGAGTGATATCGGGACGACATGAAACTGAGGTTCAATATGGCTTACCCGGTTTTTCACGGGTTGAGTGAAGTTCAGTTTTTCAGTAGTGAGGTAGCGCAACTTAGTAAATTCAGGTCAGGTGCGCTATGCTGCTTGCTCCATTCTTTTTAATCGGGAAACTGTCATGGCCTGAGGACTTATCTCGTTCATCTTATGTTTGAAAAAAAGTGGGGTTAGTACTGTCTGCTCCGGTGACGTTCGTCAGTCCAGGGGACTAAGACCATCCGCAGATAGCACTAGTTACGTAAGTTGATATCCGGTCGATCGTTCCCTGGTGCAGTGTTTTCTTCCCCAAACAGGGTTGAAATGGAAGGACATCTTTCTCTGGTGTGAGTAAAAGTAAGTAAAGTAAAGCACCTTCATTTAAGAATTGCTAGGTTGAATTGAGATGTGTATGCAGTCAGAAAGTGGGCTTGCAGCTTAAATTGTCACTGTGGTCCTTGCAGTAACGGAACTCAATAATCTAGTGATCGTTGAGATGTAACAAGCTGCCGGTGCCCAGCCGCCATGCCATACGAGGGGATTAAGAGGACCGAGGCACTTCCAAGTTGTTCAAGCCCAGTCAGGGACAGTCGATATGCCGTATCACGAACCTTTCTGTTAGCAACTCCGCGACCTAACCGCTGAGGTATCCGGGGCTGGTTGAAAGTCATAAGCCAGAAAATACCGTAGTATGCTAGTAGGATACCATATCTGCTCAATCATTCCCCCTTTTGTTTTTCTTACCCACGGCTGATTTTCAGTTGGAGCTGCTGCTTCCTCCCAAAACTCACAAAGAGAATCTACTCAAATCCGTCTCTCCCAGACAATATCGGCCGGATCAACGCATAAGTCGAAAACGGCCAGCAGACGTGTCTGATAAACAATTCGAAAATGCACTTCGCCAAGTCAGTCAATATCCTGTACACACTGCCCCAGCCCCGGAACAACTCCTGCGCCAATTGATGGAAATGGAAAAACCTACATGACGCGTTTCAGTTGCTTCTATTTTCCCACTGTAAACAAAATATCGAATAATACTTGTGTGCGCATTGATTTTGTCTAGTTTTTCTACAACCCGGTCAGTTTACAGGTGTTCTCGTCGACTTTTTCAACGAGAAAGCTGGGCTTTTATGATGAAAGATATCATCCGAAGAAAGCTGAGAAGCTGGGAGGATGCTGAAGCCCAGACAGGAGCGGTCGAGATGCAGAGGTTGAATTCAAACCAGTGAGTTCGCGCCTTAACCACTGAGGTTTCTCGAGCCCATGAAGATCAAGCCACCATCCGTGCTTTGATAGCATAGCGGGACACATTGCTGGGACACAGTGATCTCGATTCTTTGGGATGGTGTTTTGCACAGGAGCAATTCACACGCGGCCCATGCCTTATTTTATAGTAGCATCTTCAGGGGCAGCCTGATAAGCTTGTAACAAACAAAACCACACCAGTTTTTTTTAGCCACCCATACTTGGACTTGAGCTCAATCCCATGACAAGCGGACGAATTGGACCGGTGGACCGGACCGGTGGTAATTGCCATAAATGAGCGAGTAGAATTCAGGTAGCGGTATACAGCTCAATGCTCTGGAGGACTGGCATCCCTTCCCGGATTGGCTTGTCATATCGAACGAAGTCGACGAAAGTCCATGGTTAAGGGGGAGGGGCGTGATGGTTCAGTGGTTTGAACCCGAATTCACTGAACTCAAGGTCCGTGGTTCGAACCCGGCTTCTGCATCTCGACGTCCTGTCTAGACTTGGACAACCTGGCACTATCCCAGCCCTCAGTTGGCATGGTAGCTAGGCACCGAAAAGATGTTACAGCTGAATAATTGCTATTATTATTCTTTCGACTCACGCTGAGCCACATGTGCACTCATCTGAGCGCCATGCATCCGGCACAAGGCCAGAGGAAGCTATTCCGTAGCGTTCAGCGTGCCAAACTAGCCCAAAATTATAGATTGACCTAGCTACGGCTGAACGGTTGGACGCAACTGGGCATCTACCGATCTGTACCTCTAGTGAGGTGCTCCCTTGGGACCCATTTGTGGATAGCGAGCGATGAAAGCAACATTCAGTCTGGTCACTGAACGAGAATCTCTCTTTTTCGATCTATTCACGGCGCCCCCAAGTTAGGTTAGTGGATAAAACAGTAGATGCAAGGCGTCGTTTGGTGGCCCGCAAAGCATAGACAGTCACTGCTAGCCACTACTCCGCTTGGTCTACACACAAGCTCACTCCCAGTGCACTTATTGGTTTAATGCTCTAGACTGTTCACAGCATCGGGACGGAGATTTTCTGACACAGCGCAGAAGATGAACCCAATGTTGTTCGCTTCCGGTAGACTGAAGGATGCATCACTACTAAGTCGAACACAGAGTGCTCGACACTGCGTGGTTCAATGCGATCGGACTTGCTTCCGTTCACACGATGATCATCATTGAAGGTCACCCCTAGCACCAAATTGCTCACTGTGCGAGAGCCTTTTCGTAGGCTTTCCTCTGTACGTCGATGATTATGGACAGTTGCTACTAGTGAAAGGAAGAAGGCCTTCGCTGCGGAGTTATTTATTAGAAAATGCCAACTGAACAGTTACAGGCTAGTGGATAGGGAAGCAAAACTGTCATATGCATCTTGTTTACAAAAACTCAACATCCATCTTCTTGAACGCGTCTTCCTGAACTTTCCTGGATATTAATTAACTGTTGCTCAAATCCAAGCAGATGCTACAAAGTGACTCCACAATTTCCGCAATGGATCTCCCTTTTCAAGAGACGCAAAGCGAATTTATGAGAAAACATACTACTCGCATGCCCCCATCAGTAGCATCACCGTTACACTAGCCACCATTTACGGTGGCCGACCAATCGAATGCGATCGCCACTTTTAGTATGTAGTTGAGTGTATAGGTCAAATTTCGTGCAATGTGGTTTCAAGTAGAGCATAGGGTTGATGGAAACTCGGGGACTGTGCCTAATTGATGATCCTCAAGAAGGGCTAAACTGGTCAGCAACCTTACGAGTAATGTACTACAATGTACTATACAATGTATTGAATATCGTACCAATTGAAATGAGGCGGTCTTCATGTGGCACGTTCATTCGATTAAGACTACCATCAACGAGAGATGCTGGTGGGTTCCAGTTGAGTATCCCCTCATAACCAAACTGGTATGCAGGTGAGCGTATAAGTCGACATTCTCCAGAAGTTTCCTAGCAAGATGTTCTTTCTGGCTTTCGGGGCTGATCGAAGTAGAGTACCAGCTTCGGTTTATAATTTGTCTTTGTGGTCGCCTGTTGAACATAGCGTTGGAGCGTATGCACTGATCACAGTTTTGGGTACATTGAAGCAAGGTATGGCTTGATTCCACGGTGTTGAGAGAATCATTTCTCGTCGGATAGTAGAGATCCGACAACATGGTCCCGTTTTTCTTCTGTCAGGTAGCCGGTCCAGTAGAATTTGTCGGAGAATTCCTTGTTTAGTCAATCGTGTTTCACTGGAAGTTGCGAAATTGATTGGCTATCGGTTCACTTCCACCGCAACCAGTGCTGTTTCCCGGGACGAGCGATCTGGTCTACGAAACCTGTAAGAACCGCGTACTTGACGCATAGTGTTTAAGGCCAACACAATCTCGTTCATTAGTGATTTGAGAAGGTGGGATGAATAGCTGCACACTGATGGTGACAGTTCATGTATATGATGCGGGGTTTTCATTGCGAAGATTTAGATGGGAGCTGTGAATTCAAGGCAACGGCTTGGTTGCATGAGCGCGGCTGGACCATATCCGTCTCTAACCGTTGGTATGCTCCGTCTCCGGGTCTCCACCCACGCAGATGACAATGACCAGCTGAGTTTGCTGGCGATGGCTTTCATACTTCGCTGCCAAGTCATTAGTTCGCACGGTTCTACCGTTCGAGTGGTTTTGCGATAAGGACCATTCGAGGCATTTGGTCGACTGGCATACGGGGCTCGTGGCCAAGCCGTCGCAACCTAGGCAGTGTGATCGGTTCACCTATCGTGTGCGAAACATCTCTCCTCCAAATAAATTTGTCGAACTTCATTATTACTCATCCGGCATTCTCACCAGACTCGCGCAATGTTCCGAGACATTGATGTTCAAACACTGAAAGTCTTTCGATGTTCTCGGTGCTCATAGACCAGGTTTCCGGTCAATATACCAATACGAAGTGCACCGCAACATTATATAGTCGACTACTGATGGATAAGGTGTTGTCACCCCTACGTCACAGGTGACGTAGGTTCACGAACGCTGCTCTGACCTTCCTAGCCCGAATCCAAATATCATCTTTCGTAAGAACAACGGGACTGATATACCGCCTATTTAGACACGTTCGGCTCATCCCCAAGCATTAGGTTAGGGTTCTAACCCACCCAGTCTTGCAGCACCACAGGTGTTAAGTGCACTCCAAACCACGAGGCAGAATTATTTAGATTATTTAATATTGTTCGCATTACTACAGTGTCAGATCCGTGAGCGGACACCCCGGGAACACTTCGACCCCACAGACCTTAGAGGTCGATAGTGAGTCTTCCATAATCAAATCAATGACGAGGCTTGACACCACTTGATGTCGTGAACTGAGTCAAGAGCTTGCCTTAGACCTTCACACGGCCGCAGGGGTTTGCATACAGCGCCTTAAGGAGGGTCAATAGTTTATGGGAGACACCTTTGCTCCACAGGCACTGCCATAATGCCTGACAGTCCACAGAGTCAAAAGCAGCTTTCAAGTCAAGGAACACAGGCATTATTGGTTGCTGGAAGCAGCACCGCTGTTCAGGAATCTGTCGGAGGTTGAGGGTGTAATCGATGAATCCTCTTGCAGGCGGAACCCAGCTTGCTTTTCACGAATCTATCTCCCCCTGTGTTCAGCCCACCTTCAAAGGATTAGACCAGAGAGCACCGTCGATGCCACTGTGGTTTTCACACAGCATCCGCGCGCCATTTTTTATTATTCGGGACTGTTCGGGTGTTCTACGAGCAAACGGTCACTCGGGGAAAACCAGTGGCGTTCAATTTACCTGCAAGACAGAAGAATTAGCATCGATTTTTGTACCACCCCCAGATGCTCGGTCGAAAGGCTGTTCCTTCCTGGCCTCGGCTGACCGCCTTCTAAACTGACCTTTGGGTTTTGATAGTAGAAAAGGTATTTTTACACTCATTTGGCCGCAGTTATCCATGCAGTATGGTGAACTCAAACCTTGGGGTTGTTTTTTTATTAACCTCGAGCGAATGGGTGGTCATAAGCGTTTGCTAGAAAGTGCGCATGAGCTAAAGGTCACGCCCAAGCGGATGCCTAAGCACCGGAAGAACGACTGTTGCCTGAGCGTCTATCCGAACAATTCGGTATGCGTGGCACCACCAATTTGTGCGCACAGGGCGACGGGCCTGATTTCCTGATGACAGCTATGTCAACCTTTCTGATGAGGCACTAAACCAAAGGCATACACGTAATGGCTCTGGGACAATTTGTCGTTTTCCCATAAAAGGCATGATAGACCGTATCCGTAACCCATACTGGAAGTAGCTAGATAGCTTTCTCTGTAGAGAGCAAACGCTGTTTTACATGCACCACGGGCCTAGCTCAATCTTTTGCGGTCATCATAGAGGCACAATGATCGATGAGTCAATCAATCGATGATCAATTTACGCCAGGTAGTCAAGCTGAAGGGGTAGGAATACATGAGAAAAGACCGATAAAAATCCGAAGTGCCAAGCTGGCAATTAGGGGAAATCATTGAAAAATCAGTAAACAGTATTAAAGGATGGTTTAACTTAAACATGCATATGAAGTCAATTATGTGGTAGCGAGCTGTGCACACTTGCACAATCCAGCAATCCAAACCATGGGCTTTCAATAGAGAACCGGATGACAACAGTCTACCCCCACCCCCTTCCACATACAGAAAGTCGAATGCCGAGCATATCGCGTGCGCGCATGTAACCGGGTTGTTATTGGTCTAGAACCCACAGGTAAGTTGTCGATGAAATTTAAATCAGCTTCGTGGACCTCTAGTCTCAACGTCCTCCAACACT